AGGGAAAGGGGAATAGTATGGTATCCAGGTAAAATGCAAAAGTAACAATGGTTCAGTAAGATCCGACATTAAATATTTATATAAAGCCTGGAAATACTTCATCTACAAAAAAGAGAAAGGAAAATTCCTTTGTGTGCCAACGTGCCTGTTGTTTATGCAAAGCCTCTGAAATAGTTAAGCTTTTCTGAACATGTTAACCCAGATCATGGTTTTACTACTGATCCCACATTATGTTTAAACACAGTAATGTGTTAAGTTCAATGTACTACAGCCAGCTATTTATTTATTTATTTATTTATTCATTCATTCATTCATTCATTCATGTGTTGGGTCTTCGTTGCTGTGCACAGGCTTTCTCTAGTTGTGGCGAGTGGGGGCTATTCTTTGTTGCGACGTGTGGACTTCTCATTGCAGTGGCTTTTTTTGTTGCGGAGCACGGGCTCTGGTACGCGGGCTCAGTAGTTCAGTAGTTGTGGCTTGTGGGCTCTAGAGCGCAGGCTCAGTAGCTGTGGCACATGGGCTTAGTTGCTCCACGGCATGTGGGATCTTCCTGGACCAGGGCTCAAACTCATGTCCCCTGCATTGTCAGGCAGATTCTTAACCACTGCACCACCAGGGAAGCCCTAGCCAGCTATTTTTATTTCAGTCCTACCCTTACACTCTAGATAAATTTGAGGCCAGAAGAGCAATTGCATCATATTACCTATTTTTGTTAAATATTAATTGTCAGTAAGAACTACTCCCACAAATACCATAAAATTCTGTACTTGAAAGGCCACCTAGAGAGCATAAAGCTCCTGTATTTAAACCCAATCAAATCAGACTTTTTTCTACTTAGATGGCAAATGCGTCATCTGTTCTTACTGCGTGAGTTTCTCTTAACAATGTATAGAGAGCACAAGTCAGTGAAAATAATTCTTGTTAGAAACTCCAAATATCAATATCTTTTAGTATGTCAAAAATCGTGACCTTGGTACTAAAGGAAAAAGGATAATCTGTTCCACAAGCATTTTTTTAAAAAAATTATTTCGAGTGGCCTTTAACTCTGGGATCTTGAACGCAATTTAAGAAAAACTATGCTTCTACAAGCAGTAGATTAAGTTTCTACAAGCAGTATATTCAGTTTTCATCTAAAATGAACCGTGCTGGGTCCAACCGTGGTGAACGAAGTAGGCAGACTTGTGTAGCACGTGCAGAGTAGGCTTGAGGCGGCTGCTAACTTAAGCTTAAATACAGCTGGTTTCTCTACAGTTAAACACAACTTGCCTAACCTGGAGGAGAGAGATAAATGGAACCAACCATGTAAAGGCAATACAGCTGATCCTTGAACAACACGGGTTTGAACTGCGTGGGTTCACTTCTACGGGGATTTTTTCAATACACACACTACTATGTTTACGACCTGCAGTTGGTTGAATCCGAGGACGTGAGGGTCAACTACGGGACTTGAGCAGGTGCAGATTTTGGTATCCGTGGAGGGCTCTGGAATCAATCTTTGCGGATACCGAGGGACAATCCTTTAGTCTCAGTATCAGGCTCATGCCACTATTGGTAAGGCAAGATTCAAGGAATGGCAGACCTGGGCATTTGTTTTGACTATTTGTGATTCATCTGAACGGTCCATATCACACTCTCTAGATGGCCCAGGTACAGATGCAGATGGCACCCAGGGCAGGGCTGGTATGAAGGGGAGAGCTGGAGGAGGTGTGCCCAGCCAGGGGCCTCACTTCCACATCACAGTAAGGTGGTTTGTTCTCAGTAAGACTATGAAGGGAATGCTTAAATTTTTTAGTGATATTTTACTACATTTCATGGAGGAAATTATATTCCCAGGTACACTGTATGAATCTGAGGAATCTGGAAGTATTCCCGATGAAGGTCACGAGTCTATTCTATACTCAAATATTCTGCAAACAGTAGCAATACAAAGTTTCTCAAATAGTGCCTTCTATTTATGACTCAAAGTTGAAACTTAACTAAGAAATATTGCTTTACTAAAAGTTAAGAATGATGGGATAGGACAGTGAACTCTTAAATTTTCATGCATGAATAGCCGTCTAATTACCACACCTTTCAAAATGAAGAGGAGACAAATAACCTGAAAATGTAAAGCTCAGATTTTAAAAGCCCTCCGTCATAAGATCTTAAATCCTAGTCCAATGTCCTCAAGGATATCTGAAACTAAGAAGCCTTAGAGGGAAGTGGGTAGAGGTTAAAAAACCATTGGCAGCCTCACTTCTGTCACTTTCATCTTATAGCTTGGAGAGCCCCAGGGCTATTATTATTAGTCTTATAGGGAGAGCACGCGGATTCCCTTTCCTCTGGGTGGAGATACGAAGAAAGGCAGACACAAGTACCCACAAAAAGAACCTCCAGAACTCAAAGATCTCCATCTGGAAAAAATGGAGTTGATGCCTTCTTTAGCACTAAAAGTTGCTTGCATCCTAAGAGGATAATTAGCTACAAAAAATATTTTCACTTTCAGAGGTCAGTATGTTTAGCAATAAGCTTTAGTTTCTGTTGCAGAAATTAAATTCAACGTGGAATCAAAATATATTCTGCTATTTTATTATAGGGACTATTGTATAAAGAAAATAACACAAATCCAATTTCACTCATAAAAGCCTGATGACTGTCCTGGAGAGAAAGAAAATAGCATTGAGAGGAACAAAAGGTCCTTCTCTAAACAATGGTTTCCTAGGTTCATCCTTCCAAATGTGGGCCAAATCATGAATTCCAGTTAACACACACCTCAGAGGGAGCCAAGTTTGGAATGTGCAGAACAAAGAATTTATTCAGCGACCACTTGGATGTTTTTCCTTCTCGAAAATAATGAAAGCAAGAGGAGTCCAGATGGGAATGCAGCCACTTCGGGAGAGGAATCCTTTATTGAGATAAATAGCAAGGCTCTGTAAATAAATCCCCAGTATTACATGACGAATTTTGGAAAGACAACTAGGCTTGTTTTTGGTTGTCTGCTGTGATTAAACTATTTCTACATGGTATTCTAGTATTTCTGAAATAGTTAAGTGACAATGTTTTATGTCTTTTAAGATAAAAGACATCATTGTGTGGTTTTTAAAATCTCCAACTTTCCGCTCTCAACTTGAACCAATGACTCTTGAAGCATAGCTGGGATCTCTTTTCCTTGGCGCCCTGTTCTTGCTGGGGCTGGTTCCTGAGGCTCAGATGAGTCAGGCTCACATTTTTGCTCCAGAGACCTTCCTTCTACCCATAGCAACTCCTGGAACAGAGACTTCTCCCCACCAGCTCTGAGAGTTCCTGATCCTTCTGCAGTGCGGGGGCCACAAAAACACTCAGAGATGTGATCAAGACAAGCACAGTGATGGGGAAAGGATGGTGCATGGACAGAAAGAAGTTGGCTTCTTCTAGGAGGGCACTAGCAGGTTACTGAGTTAAACCGTCTCCTTCATTAACCTAGGTAATTTGGGGTAACTGAATTTTTAGTGCAATGATTTAAAATTATGTAGTCCATTTGTATGCACATTTTAAGAGTACTTTATCGAGTTCAATTTTTGGCCAAGGTTCTTAGTTCACAGTGCTGCATTTTACAGTGAATTCGAGACAAAAGTGCTAGGCCATGCTGGTTAAGGAAGAGTTCACCAGTTATCACCTGTGAGGGAATCCACTGTGACTTTCAATTTAACAGCAAACCTCGTTTTGTTACTTTCTGGGATTTCTCAATCCCTCTCCTTTTGCTTACTTTACTCAGGACTGAGTGTTTTAACATATCCACTATTTTCTTTTACATTCAGAGCAGTGAAAAAATATGTGGATTTCCCTTCTCACAATTCTTTATTAACAAAGTGACACAAACACAGACACTCAACCAAAAACCTGCATTCTCTTGCCACTGTTGTATTACTCATCTCCAAAAGACAAAAGACTGTCAAAGATGATGATATGGTCATTGTCACCTCAAAGAGTCTGCCAAGTTCTAGTTCATATGGCTACTGAGCATGCAGTGATGATTTCTGTTGATATCACATGAAAATGAAAAAGCAAAGCCCAAATACCATTGTATAGAGCTGCATGCTTTGCTGGAATACATCTTCACTTATCCTGATGGCTTTGGAATGCTGCCATGCTTTGAAAACCACTAGTGCATGCATCTCAGTTTTAAGTTTTCATTTCTAGTAAAATATGGGAAGACCTAAAGCTTGTGCTTATGGGCCTGGTGCTATTTAAATTTGGGGCAGAGATTTAGAGAAAAGCTTGGGAGGCACACTCACCGCCTCTCCAGTGGGCGCCCGTCACTGGAGATGCTTCGAGGAATGTTGGCGGCTCTTTCTGGAGGAGGCATCTTCCCGTCTCCTTTCCCAGCATTCAGCCTCGAGGTCATGGGACTCTGCACCTGGGATGGAACTTGAGGTGAATGAGGCCCCTTGTTGGCATTCCTCTGCCACTTGTTATTATTTCGAAAGGGAAACTTGAATTCGTAGGAAACCCCTTCGTTCATTTTGTACTCCATCACTGGCATGCGGTAGGTCTCAGAGCAACTCCTAGGGGGAGGGCACAGAGAGAAGAAAAATCAATATTGCTTTTTCTTGTTGGTGGAACCACACTGATTCTCATTAACAGTTAAAATGGATCAAACACTTCATTCTCAAGTTTCAAACCATCTTTCAATCATTAGGCCTGTAATTATTTTCCTTTCAAAAACCAGAATCCCAGGAAGTATTATACTAGTATTTTCTTTTGATCAATCCTAAATGCTGAGTATGAGATATGGAGTCTTGAAATTTCAGTGAGACCTATGGTCACCCTGGTGGGGATGGGGGTGGAGTAGGGGGCAGAGTCAGCACTGAGACCTGGGGAGGGAAGGTGCCCAGACAGCATGGTGGGAACAGACCCCTAAGATGGGGCCTCGGAGGAAAGAGTCAGCTTTATATCCTTAATCGTAAGGGAAGCTTTAGATCCTTCCCTTACGATTAAGGATCTAAAAGGGTATATAGGTTTGAATTCGTTGGGATCCCGATAGTCAAAAATAAGTGGGGAGAATTCTTGAAATCCAAACTGAGAGCCAAATTTAGCTCAGGAGGAGGGAAAAAAAAAAGCCAGTTATTGAAATCAGCAATTATCAAATCACCAGGGAACAAAGCATAATCTGAAATCAGGACTTTTTTTTCCCCTTGAAAGCCAGAAATCTCCCATAGCAGAGCTGTCCCCAGGCAGCAGTCTGAGTGAAATTAATGGCAGGCACAAATGTCTTCCATCCCTTTACCCTCTTTTTGTGCCATCATTCCATCCCCCAAAACTTAGGAAACGAGGAACCCACTTTCCATGACCTTTGCCCAAACAACCAAGGAAGGTTCGACCAATTATTGACTTGACTGATTGAAAAATTACTGAAAAAACCTACCCCCACGAAAACATTAACTCAAACTGTGCATTTGAATTTCATCACTAAGAGAAAAAATGACTTTCTTTCTTAAAGACATTTCAAAGACTGAGAAGCAGGTGGGAAGATCTGGAAAGAAAAGATTAAGAGTAATTACGAAATAGTCCTTTAAGAGGTACTTTAGAGATAGCATAAGGAGAGTCCAGATCAGTGCCGCCCAACAGAAATACAATATAAGCCACAAATAGGAGCCATGTATGTAAGTTTTAAATGTCTAGCAGCCATACTACAAAAATAAAACGAAACAGGTGAAATTAATAATAAATTTTATTTAACTCAATATATCCAAAATGCTATCATTTCAACATGTAATCAATAAATCAGTATTAAGAAATTTACGAGACATTTTACATTCTTGTACATTTGGAGTGTATTTTATACTTAGAGCACGTCTCACTTGGGACCAGCCACGTTACAATGGCTCTGTAGTCACAGGTGACTCATGGCTCCTGTACTGGACAGTGTAGGTCCAAAGGGCATCCAGCTGAAGGCCTGGTCTTGGTTTGGGGAAGGTGCTTATGTTGGTGGGAGAATGAACACAGTGGAACGGGCCCCCCTCTATGACCTTGTCCATGTATCTCAGGGTATGACTCATGACATTTAAAATGTACCCCACCATGCGTCCTCTCCCACGTCTCCATGACAGCCACAGGTTTTGAAAAGTGCTGCTTTTGGAGCATGTGCATTTGCTGGGGTCCTTGCCCTCCTCAGTCTTAGACCAAGTCTCCAATGGGCACCTTTGCTTGGAGTTTCCTTAACCTCTCCCTCCGACTCCTCAAAAGCCTAGGTCAACCTTAATCTGACCCTATGCCCAAGATGCTGCTGTGCCCCTTTTAATGGTTTGATGACAATGGCTTTCAAATGTTTTGGACCACAATCCTGGTGACAAGTATATTTTACACTGTGATATAGCACAACCACAAATACATACACACATACATCCTTCCTCTGTCAGCTTCCATTCTGCTATATTCTGTGTTAATCCATTTCATTAAAAAAATACATTGGGTACAACCTCCTAAACTGATTTCATGATCTACTTAAGAATTACGATCTATAGTTAGCAAAACACTGTATGGCCTACTTGACATTAGTTTCAGCAGTTATTGACTTCTTATATGATAAATGCTTTTCTCTGAAATGAAGGATTATCACCTTAGGCCTTGATATAATTTCTAGCTTTGAATCAATTATTTCTGACAAAAATATGCCATTACCATACTTTTTTGGTTGTTAACACAGGTGTTATTGCAGTATATCTGAAGTCTTTCATTTCTGATCATGCAGTATCTAGAGCTCTGGATCTGGAAATACAAGAATGTTGCAAGAATGCAAAATGCAAGAATGTTGTAGCTTACCAAAGGAATATTAATAGCAATTTATAATAATGCATGGAAAAATTTCTTTCTACCTCAAAATCAGCACTAGCTTTGCTTCTCCTCAGCATTGGTCTGTTTAACTTGTAAACTCAGTGGATCATATCATCCATGTCCCTTTCTTTTTTTTTTTTTTTTTTTTTTTTTTTTTTTTTTTTTTTTTTTTTTTTTTTTTTTTTTTTTGCGGTACGCAGGCCTCTCACTGTTGTGGCCTCTCCCGTTGCAGAGCACAGGCTCCAGACGCGCCGGCTCAGCGGCGATGGCTCACGGGCCCAGCCGCTCCGCAGCATGTGGGATCTTCCCGGACCGGGGCACGAACCCGTGTCCCCTGCATCGGCAGGCGGACTCTCAACCACTGCGCCACCAGGGAAGCCCCATGTCCCTTTCTGTTGGCTGCCAGGAACCAACCACATGTACAGAACACGTACAGACCTTTATCATGTATTTCAGGGCGTTAACTTTTCAAAAATTTCTCCCTTGGCCACGTTTTCCACTTACCTCCCCCCATTCCCCATTTCCCTACCACACATACACAGAGATTCCCTCAATGAATTTTAATTCTGTACCTCCATAGGCTGATTCAAGCCCATATTGCATCAGGGTAGAGAATAAGTAAATAATTAAAACAGAAACAATAATAATGTAATATCAAATAGACAATATCAGCTTTGGGGCCTTAGTTTCTTTGTAAAATGAAAGACTTGTAATTGATAATTACTAAACTTTCTTCTAGTTCAAGCACTCTTTGAAAGAGTCTTTTAGCTGCATAATGTTTAATACTAAAACTGGTTAAAAGATCCCATTAGCCAAAGATTTTGTCTCCTCTCTAGTCTATATTTCATCCCCACCACCCTTAGCACACTATTAGAGACCTTCTGAATATTCCATAATCATAGAATGAAGTACGATAAGGCCAAAGCAGGGAGAGAAGATTCATTTACAGAGAATGAAAAGCAAAGATTCCACAGTGCTGAACCTTTGCCATCCCGCCGTTTCTGACTGCCTTCTACGGGGGTTGGGGGGTGGGACACCACTAGCTTCTGCTCCCTTACTTATCCCTATGAGAATGATGCATGGAATCCAGAAGTGGGCAGTACACTGAAGGACAAAGATAAAAGCTGGCTTTTAATGACATGCATGAAAGTTCATAAAAGGATTTATATTCTATTACTCCAAGTAAAATCTAGTGTTAAACAATAAAAACTCGGGCACCTAGAGCTCACGATGGGCCAGCACTAATCTGGCTGCCCTACACCAACTCTCTGAAATACGAGTATCATTATCCCCGTTTATCAGATGGGGAAATAGAGGCCTAGAGAGATTAATCTGCAAAGACTACACAGTCAAGAAGAAGTGGCAGAGCCAGGATTTGACCCCACAGAATAAGTCTACTTGTAGATTAGTCTTATTTTAGTCACTAACTAAAGAACATTTCTACTCCAGGTTCCCAAACTTCATCTTATACTGACTATTGCATTTCATTCGGGCATGGGCTATGACAAAATGTCAACAATTCTTAAAGAGCTATGGTCAAAAGGAATTACAATTTCGGTGCTAAAAGTGACACATGGTGACAAGCTGAAACCATAACTTAATTGAAAAGTCACTCCATCTTCTTTCTCTTTTTCAGTCTTTTCATTCTAACTTTTTCCTCTAATTTCTTATTACCCACTACCCTCTCCTTTATTCCTAAGACACTAAGAAATACAGACAGAAAAATCAGCCGAGGGGTATATTGAACAGAACATCACAACACCTGGACTCCTGAATCAGAAAAGTTGGATGTCTGGGGACAGCTGTGTCCCTAATCATTCATGTGACTTTGGCTTGGAAAAAAAAAACTTAACCTCTTTGAACCAAAGTTCCTCATCTAAAAAAAATGAGAGACTTGAACCAGACGATTTCTCATAGCCCTTCTAGCTCTAAAGCAGAATGCTTTTGCACTTTGAAATAATTGTTTTTTAAACTGAAGAAAAAACTTTGCAACCCTCTTACTTAAAAGGTAATCTGGTCCTTTGGGTAATGTGTTTTTAGCTCTTCCTCTTGAATGGCCCTTGATTGCTTTCTTTAGGGAACTACATTCAACATTTTGTAATAACCTATAAGGGAAAAGAATATGAAAAAGAATATATACACATGTATGTAAATACATAACTGGATCACTGTGCTGTACACCTGAAATGAACACAACAATGTAAATCAACTATACTTCAATTAAAAAAACAAATCCATAGGCTGGTGGCCCTCAACAGAATGACGGCCTGCCACTCCCATGTGATACCATTCAGAGCATCACAACAGAATGTGCTATCTGGGTACTTCTAACTTTGCCTAGAGAATGACTGACTGCTCAAGAGTCAGAGGTCACAGACACCAAGACATACAGCTGGTCATACACTCTGATTGGTGATGGAGCGCGTGGGGGTCCCTCCTGCAGTGCAACATCTTACTCTCTGGGGGGGAGCCTTCTGGTGACGTCTGCAGCCAAATCCCAAACCTGTTTCTGCCAAGACTGCTTCCATCATGCTGTCATCCTAGTCGGCCCTATTCACTCTCTGGGCAGCTACTAAACCTCTCTAACCCTCATTCTCCTCATTGTTTCAATGGAAATGAGGCTGCCATGAAGATTTTTTTTAAAGCCCAGTACACAGAAGGGGCTCAGAAATTTTGCTTTACTTTCCCGGTCCTCTCTTCTCTTTAAAACAGTTGCCTCTGGAAACAATTCGTAGAGGGTCTGCTTATGTCCTGCGAATAGGGAAAAGAGCTTGATTTAACAGGTGTTACTAAAGCCCCATTTGTTGTTGTTAAACTGGCTTTTTCGCTTACAAGCAGCTCATGCAGCTCAATATCAAAAAAACAAACAACCCAATCCAAAAATGGGCAGAACACCTAAATAGACATTTCTCCAAAGAATTACCAACAAACGCATGAAAGAATGCTCAACATCACTAATCATTAGAGAAATGCAAATGAAAACTACAATGAGGTATCACTTCACACCAGTCAGAATGGCCAGCATCCAAAAATCTACAAACAATAAATGCTGGAGAGGGTGTGAAGAAAAGGGAACCCTCTTGCACTGTTGGTGGGAATGTAAATTGATACAGTCACTATGGAGAACAGTATGGAGGTTCCTGAAAAAACTACAAATAGAACTACCATACGACCCAGAAATCCCACTACTGGACACATACCCTGAGAAAACCATAATTCAAAGAGTCATGTACCACAATGTTCATTGCAGCTCTATTTACAATAGCCAGGACATGGAAGCAATCTAAGTGTCCATCGACAGATGAATGGATAAAGAAGATATGGCACATAAATACAATGGAATATTACTCCACCATAAAAAGAAACGAAATTGAGTTATTTGTAGTGAGGTGGATGGACCCAGAGTCCGTCATAAAGAGTGAAGTAAGTCAGAAAGAGAAAAACAAATATCATATATTAACACGTATATGTGGAATCTAAAAAAAAAAAAGGTTATGAAGAACCTAGGGGCAGGACAGGAATAAAGACACAGACGTACAGAATGGACTTGAGGACATGGGGAGTGGGAAGGGTAAGCTGGGACAAAGTGAGAGAGTGGCTTGGACATATATACACCACCAAACGTAAAATAGACAGCTAGTGGGAAGCAGCCGCATAGCACAGGGAGATCAGCTCGGTGCTTTGTGACCCCCTAGAGGGGGGGGATAGGGAGGGTGGGAGGGAGACACAAGAGGGAAGAGATATGGGGACATATGTATATGTATAACTGATTCACTTTGTTATAAAGCAGAAACTAACACACCATTGTAAAGCAATTATACTCCAATAAAGATGTTAAGAAAACAAAACAAAAACAAAACAAAAACCACCTGCCTTTTCAAAACTAGTGACTCTTGCATATGACATACGGGGGTGTTCGTGATTACATATGATCCCCACGCCGGTGTCTGTGTCCTGGGACCCTTGGATCCTGGTGACCCTGAGAAACACGCCGCTGGGGACGGAGGGCAGCGTATTTCCAGGAGGCCTGCTCTTCCTGGCGGCAGCACCAGCTGACAGACAGGAGAGTGACTAGTCAAAGAGCAGAGTAATTAGCTGCAAGGTCCACAGCCGTGGGAGTGTGAAGTGCGGAGGAGAGAAAAAAGTGACAGAAGAGCATTATCTTATTTTGTGGAAAATTGTACCAAGGTGTTAATGCTTCAACTATTCCTTTGAAGTTGTTTCTGAAGGAGGGAAGGGGAGAGCAGGCTTCTAGTCCTCCAGAGGTATCAAGGGCAACATTTCAGACCCACCTGGAAGGTCTGACGGTGGCTTTTCGGGTGGAAACTCTAGGGCAAGGGGCAGAGTGTGTCTCCGAGGCCTGAGGGGCTGTGCGGTGCGCTGCTCCTTCAGCCCAGCCCCCCCATCCCGCGCTCTAATGCGGGCAGGTTCCTAACACTCTTCTGTCCCGTCACTGCCAGCTCCCTGGCTATGAGAGGATGACAATGATGCCCCAGAAGCAGTGCTGGGAGATGAAGACAAATACAGCAAATACTACAAATCAAGGTTCTTTTCCCCAACAGAAAGCCAGTTTACCATCATATCCCTGCTTATGCTGGTACACAGGAAAGGATTTGTGTCCCAAGCATACAAAGTTAAGAGTTTGGATTCTGTTTTTTTTTTTTTTTTTTTTTGCGGTACACGGGCCTCTCACTGTTGCGGCCTCTCCCGTTGCGGAGCACAGGCTCCTGACGCGCAGG